CATTTAAGCTCACGCCTACTGCTTCAGTGACTCCATCCAGCCACCTCATTCTCTGTCGTCCCCTTCTTCTATTGCCCTCAATCTTTCCCAGCATTAGGCTCTTCTCCAGTGAGTCCTTCCTTCTCATTAGGTGGCCAAAGTACTTGAGTTTCAACTTCAGGATCTGGCCTTCTAAAGAGCAGTCGGGGTTGATCTCCTCCAGGACTGGCCGGTTTGATCGCCTTGCAGTCCAGGGGACTCGCAGGAGTCTTCTCCAGCACCATAGTTCAAAGGCCTCCATTCTTTGGCGCTCAGCCTTTCTTATGGTCCAACTTTCACAGCCATACATTGCAACTGGGGAAACCATGGCCTTGACTATACGTACTTTTGTTGGCAGGGTGATGTCTCTGCTTTTTAGTATGCTGTCTAGATTTGCCATAGCTTTCCTCCCCAGGAGCAAGCGTCTTTTAATTTCTTGGCTGCAGTCCCCATCTGTGGTGATCTTGGAGCCCAGGAAGTTGCTGCATATCCAATCAAGTAAATTATATATTCTTTTACTTTTATAAGTGCCCCTCCCCAAAAGTCTTAATACAAAATAGCTGGAGGACTTAGCAAGGATGAAGTGGAGCACCCACTGCTGTTCAGAGAAGAAATGTCAAAGAAAAAGTACAAGGTGGACACTGGAAGACAGGTAAAACTAGTCAGCAAGTTGTACCTGAAGAGAACCAACAAGCATATTCTAAAGCAATGTTTAGGGGGGGGGTGTTTATGAGCACCTGTTTTAAAATCTAATTCATCACCATATGAGAACAATCACAGGGACATGTTTTGTTCATTTGTTTATATGGTGGGTATACCATGCTGCTTTGATTTCTTCTTTTTCTTTTTCTTCTTCTTCTGTTTTGACTTCAGATCTTTCTCCTTCCTCTCTTTTTTCTCCTTCTCCTTCTTTTTACCTGCCATTTAAAAAGGGTAAAAGTCATTTAAATGAAGGATAGTTTAAATCTAAAAGAATCCAAATCACTTTAAACAATTGTCACCTAGTATCAATATTCTGCCTAGGAGAAAAAAAATGAAAATTGATCAAGTGGAGAAATACGTGGTAAGCAAATATTAATTTTAAGCACTGGAGGCACTGGGAAAAGAAGGGAAATTTGAAAGAACCAATTTTAAACTAGGAACTAAGATTTATAGGCCAGTAAAATATAGCAAAGTACGAAAAGAGCCCAATTTATATATAACACTCAGTTCTAATGTGATTTGTTTGTTTTTCTCAGCATCTTGTTTGTCTGCACAAAACTGGAACTTTTTAAGAATGTCAGAGTGAACGAACGCAATGCGAAAGACATAATTTCAATGGCATTTGGGCATCAAAAAGTACAAGTCTGTTAGCTAGTAATCACATTCGTTTAGCATCTGATCCAATTTTAGAATTACAAAATAATCTCAGTCCTTGTTTTTCCCTTTAACAAATATGAATCAACCCCTCAAAAATATTGAAAAAAACAAAACTATCAGATCATGTCCCCAATAATTAAAAACAGGGTATCATCATTTGTAAGTGATACAGATCATTATTTTAAAAAAGATAAAAAAAGATTACCATGAAAGTTCTTAATTTTATGCTCATACCAAGTAAAGATGAGGATCTCTCTTCCAATTTTGATTTCCTCTCAATTTTCAGTGTTCCTGTAGAGTCAAAGATGGTACAGATGTATCTAAATTTTAGCCATATTATTTCCCAAAAATTTAGTTTTTGTTCAGTTTTTTTTTTATGGAAAGATTGGTGATGATTCCTGGACCCATTAAGACATACCTTCATGATTTGAGTTTAAACAACAATCCAAACCACAAAATATAGTGTATAAATCAAGTTGTGTGAAATCATACAGCATGTTAAGCCCAAACTATCTTTTACATATGAACCTAACCTGTATGTTTTGATTAGCTCATTTATACATCTTTGACTTGAAAGATTGGCAGTGTTCATTAACCTTAGGAAAATCTACATAAAATCAAGGGCCAAAAAGATTAAAAACCGTCTACGGACTGTTACTTCCACATAGAACTGAATGCAGTAGCAGGATGAAGGCTAGCTACAATAGAATTGTCCAATCTCAATTATAATTACAAATTAAAATAACTATCCTTTTCTTACATAGCCATATACAAGGATTTGGCACCAATATCCTCTCAAACTCTTTCTGTTTCCTGGGAAATAAACAGGACATATATAGAGGTTTGCAAACAAACATGCAAACGCACGTTTTCTAGATATGCATAGAAGCATAGACAGAAACACGAGACCCGCAGTTCCCTGTAAATGCGAATGCATATTTAATATTCTTGAAAAAGATTGATAAGACATTTTACCTGGGACCACCGGAGCTACTCTGCCATCCATTCCTGCTTTGGAAAGATGACATCTAATAATCTGGTTCTCCTGACTGGTCTGTTTGCTATAGCGGACAGCCTCCCCAGTGAACAGGGCTGAAACATCCAAGTTACTGCTTAAGTCAAGAGGAAGACTTAGTCCATGCTTCTCAAGGGATACATGAGCAACATTGGGAACTACACAAAAGAAAGAATGCAGTATTAACAGATGAGCATTGGGTTCTAGGCGTTGTTAAGTTATACCCCTAGGGTGGCAAAGGCCTTCTTGACTAACCAGAAGCTCTTGTTAAAAAGACGTCTTGTGAAGGCTTTATTTTAAAATGCTTGATTTCTCTCTCTGCTTCTGTATTAACAGGGAAATACATTACCCTCCAGTGATCAGCCTGGGTTCATTTGGGGCATGGATGGAGAACCCTTTACCATCAATGACTGGAGAGAGAGAGAGAGAAGTATTCTTTTTCTAGAAAATCGTGAAACAATGAATCAGTTGCTAAGTGCTGTAATCTTCATCTCCGGTGGCTATTTTTTGAAGGATCTAGGGATATTCGCTGGTTAAAATGAGACTTTGCGATGTTCACGAAGCAGACACAACCATCAGGCAGTTGTTTCCAATAGTTCTCATCTACCCATAATTCACACCTTTAAAAACAAAAATAGGTGATGGGAAGGATAAAACTAACTGGGACTAACCATGGGCATAAGAGCAACCACTAAAATTTGTGTTAAAATAAGATTGTCTGAAGCAGGTTTGACCCAAAAAGCCACTAGCTTTAACACATCTAATCTAGTTGGCTTATGTAATGTCGTGTCTTTTTAACTAATGAATAAAACTGCAGGATGTTAAAAAACAATGCATACCCTGTTTACCAGCATATCAATTCAAGGACAGAATGATACACATCCAGACCCAAAATTGTTTTAATACTTAAAAAATACTATGTATGCTGAATATTTTCCTTGGAACCATAGTGCTTCCAGAAGCATCGTGCAGAGAACGTCAATCGTTCATTTTGCTGACAGACTGTAGACAGTCTAGTCTCTTAGCGGTCAATAAGGATATCACTGTTATATTATTTAAATCTATATTCTAGGCATTAAGTTTAAAAATTGTTTTTCAATTATTGTTAGATTGCATTCAGTATTTATTTTGATGAATTGCCTACAAACTGCTTTGGTATTTAGCTATAACAAATTAAGACATTAGCTATAACCTGACATGAGATAATTGCATGATTGTCTATAGCTTTTAAGCAAACTGGCATCCTTTGCATGGCATAAATCATTATCAGGAAAAATCAATTACTGGATTGCTGGCTATGATGTTTTGGTAGTTGGTCTTTTGCTGCATTGCTGTGAACTGTTGCAACATTTAATACCTACTAAAAAATTTTGATATGGTAATCTTGTATTTGTGGGTAAGTGAAATTTATTTATGCAATTATTCATAAGTTCTTTCTCCATAGAGACAATAAGTTGTCCTCTTTCAGCACACCTCTAGAATTTGTCTACGGGGAGAAAGAAATTATGATTGTGATTAACAGTTTCATCCAGGCAAAATTAAACATTACAAAATCACATTAATTTCAGTGAAAAAGTGCTCGACCCTTCTGTTAAATATAATTGGACTTCAAGGTTTTGGACAGACTGAAACCAATGTAGTTAATTTTCATGCATGTGCAATCATGAAAATCACTTCAGAGGTATACCTTACAACCCCTAATTACTGAAGCTGAGGTATTTTATTATTTAAAGGGGCATGCAGAAAATTCCACTTCAAATTGTTTGAAGTTTAAAGCACTTGCAAAGCACTCCAAATTAAAAAAAAGTGTTTTTTTTTCCTCAATGAAAGATGGTCCATAAAGTTCCACACTAAAAACTATTTAAATGTTATCTTGGCTTCAAAACAAAAAACAAACAAAAAATAAATTTAAAAAATGGAAAAAGAAGTGGAAGCCATCCAAAACAACAGTTTTAATTATTAAATGGAGGTGGTTTTTTTTTTTTAATTGCTCCCTTTTCCTATTTAAAATAGACTCAAATCATTCTCAGCAAAGGTTACTTACAGATTTATGTGACATTGTATCTACTGGAGATGTAATGATCAATGAATGTTTTCTCCTATTTTTTCGGGATAATTTTTGTTTAGGTTAGCCCAGGGGTAGGCAACCTTGGCTCTTTTATGACTCGTGCACTTCAACTCCCAGAATTCCTGAGGCAGCCACGCTGAGGGAAAAGGGAGAGGTTTCCAAGCTGAGCCATGCTGGCTCAAGAATTCTGGGAGTTGAAGTCCACGAGTCATAAAGCGGCCTAGGCCTAGGCCAGAGGTAGGCAACCTTGGCTCTTTTATGACTCCTGGACTTCAACTCCCAGAATTCCTGAGCCAGCCATGCTGAGGGAAAAGGGAGAGGTTTCCAAGCTGAGCCATGCTGGCTCAGGAATTCTGGGAGCTGAAGTCCACGAGTCATAAAAGAGCCAAGGTTGCCTACCCCTGGGTTAGCCATTTCTTATTCCCTGCCCTGTTAAATGAAAATATTCTCTCCAAATCAATTGGATTTGTACATACTACTGTTTGGGTCATATCCTGAGTTTCTTTTGGGTCATATCCTAAGTTTCAGTGCATGCCAATTATAAGACAGCCCAAAGAAACAGCTCTTCTGATTCTTCGTTTTACCATTTTTCAGGAGAAAAAAAAAAAAAAAAGGTTTAGGCTGCTATTTCACAAAAATAAAAACATCTCCCCTCCCAACATTTTTTTTTAAAATCTATAGGTGAGAGAGGATTAAACCTTTGGACAAGGAAAAGTGTGCTGAAGTTGGACACAAGGGAACAAAAAAACCAAATCTTCTTTTTTGTTGATGTTGAACATGCTTAGACATCTTCTAAAATGGTAGACATTTCAACTGATAACATTCCTGGATCTCATCTCAGAAAACAACTTTGGAATCTTTATCTCAAACGTGGGATACACTGCTTCCTGTTAACCAGCAATGGAGAAAATAAAGAGTTGGCTTGTCATAGCAGGAGAATATAGGATGGGCTACAAAAACATAGGAAAAGCCCTCCTTCTTCTAAGAATGTAATCACCAATGGCTTTGCTGTTCTGTGCAGTATGAGACACTGTTGTCACTGCAGAGAAGAATTCTGCCCTGCAATTTTATACTTTGTGCTCCACAGGAACAAAACCAAAAAACAGTCTTGAGTCAGTCACCTGGTATAATTTGAAAAAAAAAATGAAGGGGAAGAGAGGAGAAATAGGAGAGAGAGGGGAGAGGAGAAGAGAGGAGAGAGAAGAGAGGAGATTCCAGGCAACAGGACAAGGAAATCTTTGCAAATTGGAAGAGCAGTTGGTTGTTTTAAATTTTCTTCTTTTCCTCCGATGTTAACGGTACAAGAAATCTCTTATGTTCTTTTCTTTTTTTTTCTGGTGAATTGAATTATAATACTATTAAGACTCCATGACATACCTTCCTTGAAGTCCTGCTTCTTTCTTTTCCTTTTCTTTTTTTTTTTTCAAAAATCTACTCATGATCAACAAGCCATATTCAAACAAAACAACCACCCACCCACCAATGATGACTTCTCAATTAAGGTTATGTTTTAAAATGTCTGTGCTCACTAGTTTTATTTATCCCAGAAGAAGGAAGCTGGGAGATCAGGGTCAAATCCTCCACTTGTATTAATTCTGGGGAAATTGGCGTTTTAAGGGGCTT